ACTGACCCTCCGACAGTGCGGCGCTCCCTCAGCACTGACCCTCCGACAGTGCGGCGCTCCCTCAGCACTGACCCTCTGATAGTGCGGCACTCTGTCCGAGTCAACCCTCTGGACGCTGCCCACTTGGGACCACACTGGCATTTGCGATGATCTGTCCAACGTCAATTTCTCTGCTCATTTGTGCACACCTCGCGGTCCTGCACTGTGACTTCCAGTTGGAAGCAGGAGTCTCCAGTTTTCACCTTCAGTGGATGATATAAAAAGAATACAACCACAAGACATTGGTAAGAAGTAGGCTACCCAGCTCATTGAGACTGCTCTGTTATTCAGTGAAAGCATGGCTAATCTGACCATCTTCAACTTCACTTTCCTCCTTTATCCCTTGATTCTTTTACTGATTAAAGATCCGTCTGTTTCAGCCTTCAATATACTTAATGGCTCAGATCTGACAGCCATCTGCAATAAATAGATTCACTGCATTCCGAGAGGAGAAATTTCTCAGTGAGCCCATACTCTGAGATTCTTCCCTCTAGTTCTGGACTTTCCCAGAAAGGGAAGTGACCTCTCCACATCTACAGCACCATGCCCTTTGGGAATTTTGTACGTGTTTCGATAAGGTCTCGCTCTTATTCTTTTAATCTCCACAGACCCGCAATGGCTGATTCTTGTTTCCAGTGTGACCCAGATTTCTGCCCCGAGTGTGGAACAATCCTGCCGCTCCCTGGACCTGAGGACTACGTTGTGTGTCGCAAGTGTGATTTTCAAATCAGTGTGCACAGTGAGTGTCAGAGTGCACGAGGGAAAACAATTCAGGAGCTAGCGTTGCAATCAAACTCGACCTCTGCTAACATTCAACACGTACTTGGGGTGGGGGAGGGAGGTGTTTGCTGGTTGTCTAGGTAGAAATGCCCTTGAAAGTTTCCAGTGCATCCAGGGAAAGTCACTCATGGGGCTAGGTACCAATCAGAGAAAACATGCTTCCACCACCACATCCGTAGGGCTGCTGGTCAGGGGAAAGTCTGAATTTTTTAAAACATTGTCCGTTGCATGTGAGCATCACTGGCCAGGGTGATATCTGTTGCCCACAGGCAGTCAAGAATCAGCTCCATCACTTTGAGTCTGGAGTAGGCCAGACCGGGTGAAAACGGCAGATTTTCTTCACCAAAAGGCATTAGTGAACCAGATGGATTTTTAAGACAGTTGACAGTGATTAGTTTACATGGTTGCCGTTTTTGTTCCAGATCAAGTTTTATCTTGTATCATGGTGCAATTTCAGAGGAAGTCGCCAGATTATTAGCCCAGGGTACTGGGTTATTAGTCTGGCCTCAACACCACTACAACGCTGCCTCCCTCAGGCAGTGTCACTCTCGAGATAATACATGAAAAAAAATTAAATTGTGCTCTGACGTGTACTGCAGTGCTAAAGACCCCCACTGCAAGTACAGAATGGGTTAGACCAAAATAAGGCTGTCTACTCTTTTAAACTGAAACTAGACCTCGCTGCTGTCTTAAACAGAAAGTAAAGCTATCTCAACACTGTCCCCCGTAAATATTCCCAGGACAGGGGCAGCATAGGGTTAGACACTGAGTGAAGCTCTCCCTTTGAAAGGGAAAGTAAAGCTTCCTCGACACTGTCTCCATCAAACACAGCCAGGACATGTATAGGGCATTTCACCTGATGAAGGAGCAGCGCTTCAAAAGGTTCTGATTTCAAATAAACCTGTTGGACTATAACCTGGTGTCGTGTGACTTCTGACTATGTTTTGCATGGAGTTAGATACAGAGTAAAGCTCCCTCTACACTTATAAACTGAAAGTAAATGCAATAAAACTGACACTACGCTGTCTCCGTCAAACACTCTCAGGGAAAGTACAGCATGGTGTTAGATCCAGAGTGAAGCTTCTTCTACTCTTCTAAATGGAAAGTAAAGTTCCTTCTACTCTTTTAAACTGAAAATTAAAGCCCCCTCAACACTGACCCCATCAAACACACCCAGGACATGTACAGCATGGAGTTAGATAGAGAATAAAGTTCCTCTACGTTTATAAACTGAAGTAAATCTTTCTCTACTCAGTTGAACAGAAAGTAAAGCTGCCTCGACACCATCCCCGTTAAACGCTCCCAGGACAGGTCTCGACTGGATTCAATCTGAGGACCTTGTTTGGGGTCGGGTTTACCTTGTGAGCTGGGAATTTGACTGGCTGCACTTAGCTGGAGGCTTGTGTGTGTGGCCTGGTCTGAGGTTGGACTCTAACTCTCAGTCACTGACTTCCTCCTTCTCCCAGAGTTCGAAGGAACAGAGATCCACACGGAAATGGTGTTTAACTATCCAGAAGTCATGCAGTTAAACCTGGCGGCTGAGGATGAGGACGGGGATCTCAAGGGGCCTGTGGTGAGTAGCCGTGAGGGAGGGTTACTACGGAGGCCAGGAGCAGTTGTGAATCAGTGACACTTGGAAGCAAGATGTACCGGTGTGGGGAAGAGGGGAAGGGGTGTATTGGGTTGGGAAGCGGGAAGTCAGTCAGGGAAAGGGGACACGCTTTATCTGAAGGGAGGGTTTGTATACAGTGTCTGATTAGGAGGGACATTTGATCAAGGGGCACAACAGGTCAGATCTTAAGACATAGTCATTGAATGGGTATTTGGATGGAAGAGTTTATTAAGCAATTTACAGCTGTTGTCAGGTGAGGAGGAGAGCGTTGATGAAACAAAGACAGCCAAAATTGTAAGCTGTACAAATTGGAGCATGAAAATGCAGCGATAGTGATAAATTGAAAGATGAGAAAACCACAGTATGCCGGTATCAATGTGGATAAATTCACCCTGAAGTTTAAAACAATAGAAGGTACATTCAAAATTATGAAAATGTTAAAAGACTGGAGGTTCAACGAGATGGGGCAAGGGTCTCCACATTCACCTAACTAGGGATCAGGAACGTATAATGGAGAATAACTTTTAAACCTAATGGACTACAAGTCTTTCTATCAATGGAATAAAATATTGAGGGGATGGAGTTTGAGTAACTGAGAGTAGTTTTGGGCCTGACACCTTGGGAAGGAGATGTTGGTCTTAGAGAGAACACAGCATGTCTTTACAAAAATAATATCTGGATCCAAGGGTTAAATTACAAGGAGAGATAAGCCCAAACTCAGATTGTATGTCAGTTACAGTTATGGGGTTAATCTGATTTAAGACTTCAAGATACAAAGGGAGCGAAATGAGTTGTTAGACTCCCCTGACCAGTGGAAATATTTCCTAACACTAGGGGGTATCATTTAAACCTGAGGGCTGTGGTGAACTGCGGCAATTCTGCATATTCAAAAGACGAGAGAACTTTGGAAACAGTTCTGCACAGAGCAGTTGGTTAGTTGTAACTGTGGGTTGTTCCAGGATATGGGAAAAAGCAGGAATGGAGAGTCAAGTCACAGATTCATCATGGTCTCACTTATGAGGTGGAACGCAGTCAGATTGGTCCTTGTATTATACACAAACTCCAAACTGTGTACCCAAGGAGAACCATGTGAGATGGGGCTCTGCGTGCAGAGGATGATGTGTTAGCAGGAGGGACCTGGATAAATGTGAGGTGTTGCTTTTTGGTAAAACAAACAAGGGCAGGATTTATGCAGTTAACGGTAAGGCCCTGAGTAGAGTTGTTGAACAGAGATACCGAGGGGTTCAGGTACATAGTTCTTTAAAACTTGCGTCACAGGTAGTCGGTGCTCAGACCATTGAGTACAGGAGCTGGGAAGTCATGTCGTGGCTGTACAGGACACTGGTGAAGTCACTTTTGGGAGTACTATGTACAGTTCTGGTCACCCTGCAGTAGGAAGGATATTACTAAATTGGAGAGAGCTCCAAAATAAGTTTACCAGGTTGTCGCCGGGACTGGAGGGTTTGAGTTATAAGGAGAGGCTGGATAGGCTGGGACTTTTTTCACTGGAGCATAGGAGGTTGAGAGGTGACTTAATAGAGGTTTATAAAATCATGAGGGGCATAGATAGGGTGAATAGCGGAGGTCTTTTCGCTAGGGTGGGGGTGTTCACAACAAGGGGGCGTGTATTTAAGGTGAGAGAAGAACTTAAAAAGGGACCCAAACAGCAATTTTTTCAAACAGAGGATGGTTCGTGTGTGGAATGAACTGCTCGAGGAAGTGATAGATGCAGGTACAGTTACAACATTTAAAAGACACGTGGATAGGTACATGAGCAGGAAGGGTTTAGAGGGATATGGGCCAAACACAGGCAAGTGGGACTAGCTTGGGAACATGGACGGGTTGGACCAAAGGGTCTGTTTCTGTGCTGTACGACTCTATGACATGGAACGGGGGCAGGCTGATGGAGGAGGTGCTGTGTGAGGGGGATAGGAGGGCGTGGATGGTGGTCGTTGAGGAGGGTGGGACACGGGATGGGAGTGCTTGGAATGCGCAATCCATTGGACGGCCATTCCCCAGTGGTTGGAATCTGGGGTGGGGTGGGTGGAGTGCATTTGTTGTCGCTGACCAGCGTGGTGTTTGTGCCACCAGGTGGAGCGGAAGTGCTCGCGGTGCGGACATGAAGGGATGGTGTATCATACGAGGCAAACCCGCTCGGCAGATGAAGGGCAGACAGTGTTCTACACGTGCATGAGCTGCAGGTGGGTGCACAGCTGGATGGGGGATGGGGTCAGCAAGGGAAATCACAGGGGGCAGCCCAGTACCCCCACACTCCCCAAAATCCGTTCAGTAGGTAGGGCGGGAGTGACGCACGGGTTTGGGAGTGAGATGCAGCCTTTATTATTAACCCTTTCGTGGGCATTGATAGCAAGGATTATATGAGTGGTTCATTTCATCCACAGTGCTGCGGGTCTGGAGTAATGTGTAGGCTGATGGGGTAAGGAAGGGCGTTTTCCTTCCCTAAAGAACACGAGCGAACCAAATGGGGTTTTACAACGGCCCGAGATGGTCTTGTGGTCACCGTCACGGAGGCTCCCGTCCCACTCCAGCCGTTTTCAGGCTGGTTCCGGGTTCCTGGGAGGGTGGGGGCAGAGGAAGAGGAGTTAGAAGCGGGCAGGCGACGCCCCGGTCTGACAACCCCGATCAGCACCGGTAACTTTCACCTCCTGTTTTTTGTGACATCTGCATATCTCGTTCTTTCAGGTACCAGGAAAAGGAGGACTCCTAGCCGGAGTGCGGGGAGAGCTCAAAGTGTGCGGTGAGACCTGGGACTAGTTTTCCAGAGACTTGCTGTAGCAGTGAGTCTCCCACACTGACATACACACACACAGTGAGGCATGGAGACAGCTGGCTATGACTGCCATTGGAACCAACATGCTCTGATGCGCCGAATAGACTGACTACATTTCAAAGGCACTATATCTCTCCTTCCTTTATTTAATCTTCCCTCTTTCCTTCCTTCCCGCCCATTCCCCTCTCTTCCATCCACTCTTAAACCCCCATCATCGTCCTTCCTTTCTGCTTTCCTTCTCCTTCCTCCACCTCTCCCTTACTCCCTCTTCTCTCTCCCTCCACCCATATGACGTCCCATTCCAGATTGTGTAAATGAGCAAACCAGATTTAGACTAAGAATCTGTGGAGCGGTCGCGCAGTGGTGGCTCAACCGGGGATTCATGTGTAATAAACAGAGCTTCATGCATCGCAGCGTCAAAGCCTCTCGTTTATGTGTGGCACTGTAACCGTCGTGAAACATTTAAGGTGCTACACAGGAGTGTGAGCAACCAGACTCTCCAGAATCCTGAGCAGTGACCCCGCTCCGATTGCCTGATGTAAAACAAAGGGACCCGGTCCAGGGCACTGAGACTCTGAGGAAACTGCGTGGAGCGCCAGGCTAAGGTGACGGAGCTTGTTCGATTCAGGACGGGGGCCGGACAGATACACCGTGTGCCCGCGTTTCGCCAAAACAGAGCACCTGCCTGCCACGTCATCCATCCTGTGGCACGTTGTCAGATCTCCCCTGTACCGTCGATCTGGTCTCACTTCGCCCTGATCTCCTGTTTTAACTCACCAGGCTTCCTTGGGCCTTGAAGCCACTGATTTTCCGAATGCTCTCTGGGAATTCTGCCGCAGAATTTCTCCTTGCAGTCACTGAACCACAACTTCTTGACATGTTCCTGTCCTTTCTGATCTTGTGCGCCTGTAATCCATTGCTGAATTACAGCCACCTTAACTAATGCACACAAATGGCTGACTGTTTTTTGCAGTGCTGTCAGGATTGGATCGTGGGTTGAAAGGTACTTAGAGTCTCAGAGCTGTGGTCCAACTCGTCCCTGTTGACCAGATATCCTAAATAAATCTAGTCCCATTTGCCAACATTTGGCCCATATCCCTTTAAACCCTTCCTGTTGTATACCCATCCAGATGCCTTTTAAATGGTGTAATTGTACCAGATTCCTCCACTTCCTCTGGCAGCTCTTTCCATACACCCAGCACTCTCTCTGCTTGAGAAAGGTGCCCCTTAGGTCCCTTTTAAATCTTTCCCCTTTCATCTTAAACCTGTACCCTTTAGTTTTGGACTCCCCCACCCTGGGAAAAGACCTCGTCTATTCATGATTTTATAAACTTCTGTAAGGTCACTCCTCAGCCCCTGACGCTCCAGGGAAAATAGCCCGAGTCTATTCAGCGTCTCCCTACAGCTCAAACCCTCCAACCCTGGCAACATCCTTGTAAATCTTTTCTGAACCCTTGCAAGTTTCACAATATTCTTCCTGTAGCAGTAAGACCAGAATAGCATGCTGTATTCCAAAAGTGGCCTAACCAATGTCCTGTACAGCTGCAACATGACCTCCAAACTACTATACTCAGTGCACTGACCAATAAAGGCAGTAAGTTAGTAAATTTTGGTAGAAAAATGAGAAATTATTATACTTGAATAGAAGAAGGAAGGATGATGTGGAAGAGAAGGGAGTTGGGAGTTCAGCTTCATAATGCATTAAAAGCAGCTACTTTGAGTGGGTAGGTATTGGCCTTCACTGATAGTCCAATCATGCAGCACAAAATTGGAGTCCCAATAAAACTGAATCAAGTAACAGTAGAAGCTCCCTTCCTTAAAAGACATTAGCTGCTCGTTTTCACTAATCTGGCATCTTTCTGGATTTCAACACATTAATTAATCTGAAGATATATTAATTCTATAACTTGTGTAATGCTAATTCAGGACGATTAAGTTCTGTGCTACCATAGAGGAAGTGAATGTCACTTTGTAATCCAGAACTCCCAGACTAATGCCTTAGGTCATAGAGTAAAATCCCACACCTGGATGTGATTTAATAACAATCTGGAATGAAGACAACCACTGTCAACTGTTGTAAAAACCTGGCACTAATGTCTTTTGGCAAGACCACTCAGGCGCAAAACCAGAAGCAGACAACTCGGCAAATGAGATCACGGTGGATCTGATCATCTTAACTTTTCGTGCTTTTTACCTGTAATCCTTAATTCCCTTCCTGATGTAAAAATCTGTCTATCTCAACTTTGAACATACTTAATCACCCTTTTCTCTCACATAAGTATCAAATCCAGCTTCTCCAAAATCTGTGTGGCCTTGTGTAACCAAAAGGCGAACACCACACAGTTCCACTTTTCCTCAGAGTTGTAAAGAAACCTAGTACATTCTCTACAACACAGCAGTATCCAAAAGTCCCCAGCTTACGCTTCCAATTAAAATATGTGTCCTTATAATTAAATTAATTCGCACATCTAGAATTGAATGCTAGTCTCTGAAATGGTGACCATGAAATCATCCATTAACATGAAGACATCTGGTTCAATAATGTCCTTCAGGGAGGGTAGTCTGTTATTCGTTTGACCTAAATGCGATTCAAGACCCAAGGAGAGGGAGGGATGTGGTTGACTGGCTCTGTGAAATGATTTAATAAGCCAATCAGTTTGACAGCAATTAGGGATAGGCAACAAATGTTAGTGACATTGCATTCAATGAAAGAATTTTACAAAATGAATGAAAATGATAAATAACAAGAATGTGTGCACCAACTACTGCAAGCCACCACCAGTAACTTGTTTCCTTGTGGGGCACTTCAATTGCATTTATGCTTGGTGAAGGATAAGAGTGCCATTGTTTAGCTTATGTTCAGCATTGCCTGGTATCAGTTGCAGCATTGAGTACACTGCAGTTTCTTTATAACATATCTTGGAACAATGTGACCCTGCTTAAATTGCCACGTTTTGATCTTTTCCAACAGTCTTAAACAATCCTCTGTTTGTTTTATGTAGGCTCTCATTTAGTTGCACACAAAGTGTTTGAGGCAATGTGTGAAAACTAATTCCTGGGGACATTTGGTGGTGCAACATCTTAAATGTGTTTATGGCAACTTCATCTGCTATTTCCAGAAAAACACAGCACAGCGAATCAGTAGTTACCACTGCTGCTTCATAGCACCAGGAATCTGGGTTCATTTCCCATTTTGGGGGACTGTCTGTGTGGAGTTTACACATTCTCCCCGTGCCTATGTGGGTTTTTACTGCGTGCTCCAGTTTCTTCCTGCAGTCCAAACGTGTGCAAGTTATGTGGATTGGCCATGCTAAATTGCCCATAGTGTTCAGGGATGTGATTAGGTGGGTTACAGGGAAAAGAGGTAGAGGCAAAAAACAGAAGTTGCTGGAGAAGCTCAGCAGGTCTGGCAGCATTTGTGAAGGAAAAATCAGAGTTAACGTTTGGGGTCCGGTAATCCTTCCTCAGGAGGGGGATGCATCTTAGTGGGATACTCTTTGGAGGGTTGGTGTGGACTTGTTGGGCTGAAGTGCCTGTTTCCACATGGTAGGGATTCTGCGATTCTACAATACAGTAGAATTTTACAATAGAGCAAACATTTAAAGTTCAGATGGTAGAAAGTTGAATACTTTGCATCTGCCAAGGAAGAAGATGCTACCAAGGTCATAATGGATGGAGATAGTTGAGATCTTATATTGGATGAAAGAAATGATAGGGATTAGTATCAGAAAGGCTAGTTGTAGTTAATGCTTACAAATCAGATGAGATACATTGAAGGTGGTGAGCAAAGGAATAGTGGAAATTGTGGAGGCACTGACCATAATCCTTCTTAAATACGGCATTGATGGTAGAGGACTGAAGAAATGTAGATGTTGCACCCCCGTTCCAAAAAGGGTGTAAGGAGAAACCCAGCTTCTATAGGCCAGTTACTCTAAAATCAGTGGTCGGCAGGCTTTTAGAGAGGGTACACTGGGGCAAAATTAACAGCACTCAAAGTTGAGAATTAATTAAGGAAATTAAGCACAAAGGCTACAAGCTTGTGTTTATTGAGTTTTTAACAGAGAGTGTTGATGAGTGTAATGTTTGATGTGTATTTGAACTTTCAGATGGTAGCTTGTGAATGCACAAACTACAGTCTATGGAAGAAAAGGGATAGTGGCAACAGGAAACATTGGTGGTGAATGATTGGTTTTCAGATGTCAGTGTGGTAACTAGGGCCATTGCTATTCTTGAGAGTTGGTTAGCTCGACTAAATGGCTCATGTGCGATGCAGAATTACACAAACAGAACAGGTCCAATCCTTATCCTGGTTATTGGTGTTCATGGAGGTCTTCCTCCTTGCTGTGCCCATTGTGGAGTAGTACCCGACAAGCTATATATAACCAACTGTCTATGTCTGAAATGCCCATGTTTCTTAGTCCACTATAACTAGTTACTGTAAATAATATTCTAGGTGCCCAAACTAGTGTATGTTGGGGGATAGGACATTTGACCCATCTGGCCTGCATTGCTATTCAGTCGTACCATGGATGAGCTGACTGTGACTTCAATTCCACATTTCCACCTATCCCCAATAACCACTGACTCCCTTGTTAGCCAAAAACATATCTACCTCTATTAAATGTTGTATTAATATTAAATCACCCTGCCTCCACCAGTTTCTGGGGCAGAGTTCCAAGACTGACCACTCTCCGAAATAAAATTCCTCATCACCTCCGTCTGAATCCACCCTCCATTTTAAACTGTGTTCCAGTTCCTCCCATAGGAGAACTATCCTTTCAGTATCCATTCTGTCAAGTCTCCTTGTTTGTTTCAGTACAATTGCCTTTCACTCATCTAAACCACAATGAATACAAAAGACCTAACCTGTCAAATTCTAACATTCCTAATAAAATAACACCATCCACAATGAGACTAGTGACTCTCAGAATGTTAAGTTTGTTTCCCTTGCCACAGATGCTGTCAGACCTCCGGAGTTTCTCCAGCGATTTCTGCTTTTGTTTCAGACTTCCAGCACCCTCAGTTCTTTGACTTATCGTACCGGTTGAGCAAACCTGTCTCGGGCTTTTGAGGTGTGGTGGTGGTGTCCCTTACCTTCGAGTCAGGAGACCCGGGTTCAAGTCCCACCTGCTCCAGAGGTGTGTAATAATGTCTCTGAACAGGGCGATTAGAAAATACATTGCGTGGATCTCTCTGAACTGCTTCTAATGCATTTACATCCTTCCTTAAGGGAAGAGACCAGAATTGTACACAGTGGCCTCAGAATTGCTCAATAACGTAAGCCCATGTGAAACTCTTTTCTTTTAACCCCCTCTTTATTCATTCATGGGATGAGGGCAGTTGAGAGTCAACCACATATAGGTCAGAGATAGTAGGAACTGCAGATGTTGGAGAATCCGAGACAACAAGGTGCAGGGCTGGATGAACACAGCAGGCCAAGCAGCATCA